GTCGATGACGGTGCACGCGTGCTCCAGAGGGAGGAGGAGGAGGAGGAGGAAGAGGAGGAGGAGCAGGAGGAGGAGGAGGAGGAGGAGGAGGAGGGAGGAGGAGAGAGTAGGTGGAAGAGGTGGAGGAGGAGGGAGGAGGAGGAAGAAGCCCAATGTAAACCCAAGACGCATCATTGATGTTGCAATCAACCCTCCCTCTCAATTCTCCTTTCTAAAAAGAGAATAGACTCGACCCCCCCTCCCCCGGAGTATCGCTACCCCTTTCGGGTATGTAAATCACATGATTCTGACCACATGTCCATCCTAAATATGAAATCACAATGTCCCAGGACAACCAGGATCCCCCCCCTGAGGTTCCCTTGTAAAAACATATTATGCGGTGACATTTTTGGTTCTAACATAACACTTTATCCCTTGCGAACAGTGGGACGAAGTGCACACGCGCGCGTCGTCGCGCGTGCATGCCGAAATCCTTCAAAAACATTCGGTGCCCGAAGGATTTCGCAATCGAGTTTCCCAAAAAACATACAAAAACACGGGGTTTCGTAACACTGATGTGTTCAAAAAGCTTACGCGCGAGCTCTTGCGAAATCTTAAGAAAATAATTTGTTTTTCAGCGGGCTTCGCGCGCGCATGTCGAAATCTGTCGAACGCCCTTGCGCGTGTGCCGTCGCGAGAATCCTCTGCAAAAAATGGGACAAAGTGCAGACGCGCGCGTCGTCGCGCGCGTACGCCGACATCCTTCAAAACCCATCGGTTTCGGAAGGATTTCAAAATCGCGCGTCCAAAAACCTACAAAAACACAATTTTTCGCAACACGGATTTTCAACAAAAGCGTGCGCGCGCGCTCTTGCGGCGTCGTCGTCATCGTCGTCGTCGTCGCCGTCCTCCCTCCTCCCGCGTCGTCGTCGTCGTCGCCTACGTCGTCCTGTGTCTTTCCTCGTGTTCGTCGTCGTCATCCTCTTTGGCGTCGTGGTCGTTTCCGTCGTCGTTGTCGCCGTGGTCGTCCTTCCTCCTCCTCCCTCGTCGTCGTCGTCGTCCGTCGTCGGCGTCTCGTCGTCGTCCCTCCTATTTCGTCGCCGTCGTCGTCGTCGTCGTCGTCTCGTCGTCGTCTTCCCTCCTCCCTCGTCGTTGTCGTCGTCGGCGTCGCCGTCCTTCCTCCTTCTTCGTCGTTCGCGTCGTCGCCGTCCTCCCTCCTCCCTCGTTGTCGTCGTTGTCGTCGTTGTCGTCGTTGTCGCCGTCGTCGTCCTCCCTCCTCCCTCGTCGTCGTCTTCGTTGGCGACGTCGTCGTCGTCTTCGCTGTCGTCGTCGGCGTCGGCGGCGTCGTCTTCGTCGTCGTCGTCGACGTCGGCGTCGTCGTCGTCGCCGCCGTCGTCGTCGTCGTCGTCGTCGTCGGCCGTCTTGCTTCTCCGGCCTTCTTGGGGCGCTCTTGAGACGCCCCCGAGGGCTCCAAGACGACCCCGGAGCGATATCTGTGCTCGGTCCCGCATGGGTTTTGCAAACCAAGTTGCGGGTGGGTGGGTGGGATGATTGTGCGAGCAGTGGAGTTGACAACTTCAATTTTGGCAAGTGATTGATTCTCCTTTCTAAAAAGACTCTACCCCCCCTGGAGTTATCGCTACCCCTTTCGGGTATGTAAATCAAATATGATTCTGACCACATGTCCATCCCAAATATGAAATCGCACTGTCCCATGCCAGACGGGTTCCCCCCCCCAAGGTTCCCTTGTAAAAAAAACTATGATGTGACATTTTTGGTTCTAACATAGCACTTTTTCGCGAATCCCTTGCAACAAATGGGACGAAGTGCACACGCGCGCGTCGTCGCGCGCGCATGCCGAAATTCTTTTAAAAACCTTCGGTGCCGGAAGGATTTCGCAATCGAGTCTCCAAAAGACCTACAAAAACACGGGGTTTCGCAACACTGATTTGCTAAAAAAGCTTCCGCGAAAGCTCTTGCGAAATCTTAAGAAAACCATGGATTTTTCAATATTTTCGCAAAATGCTATTAAACGGGCTTCGCGCGCGCATGTCGAAATCTGTCGAACGCCCTTGCGCGTGTGCCGTCGCGAGAATCCTCTGCAAAAAATGGGACAAAGTGCAGACGCGCGCGTCGTCGCGCGCGTATGCCGAAAACCTTCAAAACCCATCGGTTTCGGAAGGAATTAATTCAAAATCGCGCGTCCAAAAAACCTACAAAAACACAAGGTTTCGCAACACGGATTTTCAACAAAAGCGTGCGCGCGCGCTCTTGCGTCGTCCTCGTCGTTGTCGTCGTCGTCGTCGCCGTCCTTCCTCCTCCCGCGTCGTCGTCGTCGTCGTCGCCTACGTCGTCCTGTGTCTTTCCTCGTGTTCGTCGTCGTCGTCTCTCGTTTGGCGTCGTGGTCGTTTCCGTCGTCGTCGTCGTCGTCCGTCGTCGGCGTCTCGTCGTCGTCCCTCCTATTTCGTCGCCGTCGTCGTCGTCGTCGTCGTTGTCGTCGTCGTCGTCTTCCCTCCTCCCTCGTCGTTGTCGTTGTCGGCGTCGCCGTCCTTCCTCCTTCTTCGTCGTTCGCGTCGTCGCCGTCCTCCCTCCTCCCTCGTCGTTGTCGTCGTTGTCGTCGTTGTCGCCGTCGTCGTCCTCCCTCCTCCCTCGTCGTCGTCTTCGTTGGCGTCGTCGTTGTCGTCGTCGTCGTTGTTTTCGTCGTCGTCGTCGTCGTCGGCTTCGTCGGTGTCGTCGTCGTCGTCATCGTCGTCGTCGGCGTCGGCGTCATCGTCGTCGTCGGTGTCGTCGTCGTCGTCGTTGTCGTCGTCGAAGTCGTTGGAGGCGTCGTCGGTGTCGTCGTAGTCGGTGTCGGCGGCGCCGTCGTCGTCGTTGTCGCTGTCGTCGTCGGCGTCGGTGTCGTGGCCAAGTGCCATGTGGTACCTACCGTCACGGTCTTGTCTTAAGATGTCTTGCGACCAAGTTGCCAGTGGGAGGGTGGGATGTTTGCACGAGCAGCGGAGAGGACAGCTTCAAGACGGTCAAAGTGGGCTCCCCCCATAGATCCCTACAAGAATTCATGTTCTCTGCGGCAACTGCCTCATTGGAAGATCGTCTGAGGGTCTCCAGTCGCGCCACGTTACCATTTCTTGGACTGCAACGCAACGAGTCAAGGTGACTGTAGCTCGTACCAGAACCTCGTTCCTGAGACATCAATTCCGCGAATAAACATGACTGTTGCGTCCTGCCAACCCTACATCGTGCCAGAACGCAAGTCCTGGGACTTCAGCAATACGACCCTTTGAAACTGTCGCCATGGTTTAAGACGAATGTGCGCGGCGCTCAGGCGAGCGCCGCACTTCGAAAACGAACCGCCCTCCATCCTTGAAGCTCATGCGAAGCTTAAAGCCACGAGTGCGCGCGGCGCAGAAGCGAGAGCCACATTCATACAAGCACCTGCCCTCCATCCTTGAAGCTGTCGCAGGCATTTAAAACAAATGTGCGCGGCGCTGGGGCGAGAGCTACTTGGTGAAAGAGACATGCCCTCCGCCCGTGAAGCTGTTGCAACTTTTAATCACGCATGTGCGCGGCGCGATGGTGAAAACCACAATTTGAAAAGGAACCGTTCTCCATGTTTGAATCTGCCGCGAAGCTTTAACCACGAATGTGCACGGCGAGAAGGGCGATAACCACATCTAGAAAAACACCCGCCCTCCATCCTGGAGGTTGTTGCATACATTTGCGGCGAAGAGTCGCGGCATTAGGCCGCGGCTCGCATTTTGGAAAAGGACGTGTCCTCCATCTTTTTAAGTAGCTGCCGAGCTTGTCGCCACGAGTGCTCGCGGTGGTGAGGGCGAGAGCCACACTTAGCAAACCACCCGCCCTCCATCCTTGAAGCTGCTGCAAGCATTTAAAACGAATGTGCGCGGCGCCAGGGAGAGCGAGGTCCACATTTTGAAAAGGGCGTGCCTTCCATCCTTGAGGCGGTTGCAAGCCTTAACACGAATGCGCGCTGCGCTCAGAACGCGATCAGCGCTCCATCCTTGAAGCTGTTACAAGTGTTAAGCTTCAGGACCATCAATCGCGAGAAAATCTGAAGCGAAACGCTTGGCCCGCCCTACCGGCACGTCTGGGAGTGCGACGAGGAGGAGCCGCCTGAAGGAACACGGATGGACGAGGAGGAGGAGGACGACGACGACGACGAAGAAGGAGGAGGCTGGAGGAGGAGAGCGACAGCGACGAGGAGGAGGTGGGCAGGCAGGGCACGCAAGGCAGGAGGTGGCCAGGCAGGAAGAAGCAGAGGGGCCCTGAGGCCCAGAGCCCCTGGAGCTTCTGACGGGGCCCCGAACGCCCGAGCACCTTGCACGACGTCCGGACACCCCCTCGATGCTCGGGGAGCCCAGGGTCAGCACAGCCCGGCAGGAAGAGGAGGGCGGACCTGCGATGACGTGCGCGGTGGGGACTCATGCTAAGGAGCACCCAGCTTGCCTCCGGGGTGCCCTGGGTTTCTCGGGTCGCGATGGCTGTGCTTGTGGAGCCGCACCCAAGAGTCGATGGGCGTCCTTGGGTCTCGGGGCTGGGTTTCTTGTGGAAGGTGTCCTGTGGACTGGCCTCCACTGTATGGTGAATTGTTGTCGCGCCGGCGCGGCAGCAGCCCCCGCGCGGGTGAATAAGGTGGAACGCCGCCTGTGGCCAAAAACGAACGGATATGTAGCGATCTGAGTGATCGGAAAGCCGCTCTGGTTCCAAGTCGGGCGTGTCCTTCTACAGGAGGAATGTTCAAAATAGTAAAAAGATGGTCAGGGGACGATGTTTCTATGACTTATGACTATTTGAGAATATTTGGTGGGTATCTTTCCTTTTTCGTCCAAAATCCGCCTGTAGGGGGACATGTCCGACCTAACTCTGATTCATGGTTGAGGAATCCACGCAGTGTGAGAAACCGCGCCGGTCGTCACGACGCGAGCTTGCAGCAGCAGGGGGATAGGTTACGAGAGTAGGAGACATGTTGAGCAGGGTGTCTCAGTCTGGTGCTGCGCAAGGAGAAGAAAGCCCACCACTGCAACACCTGCCAGAGGTGTGTCACAGGCCCACGGCCCGTGCGCTGCGCAGCTGTATGCCTCTCGCGCTGCCCCTGCCCCTCGGGCATACCCGCGTATGCGGATATGCGAAGCAATCAGGACAGGGCCTCGTCTTCGAGGGTCGGAGGACCGTCTCTTCCTCTTCGGACGACGGCGGGAGCCGGCGCAAGTACATTGAGGCCGCCTCCGCTGGCGGAAGCCGGTGAAAGGCTGGCGGAAGGCGGCGGAAGTAACATTCAGCCTCCCAAGACATGGCAGTGTTTTTTGTTTCCAGGGTTTCTTTCGGACGAGGCGAGGATGAATCCGTCCCAGAGCGCTCAGGAGCGCTTTCCGAGTGCTCTGGCACGCTTTGAGACGGCCGCGGCGCCCGAGGCATCTTCCAGAGCCGCCAGATCTCCAAGACTCCCGATTGATCCCCACCCGGATTTGTCCTCACCCGGATGTATCTTCACCCTCACCCGAATGTATCGTCTTACAGTGGAAGCCCATGCCAAGAAGCACCCAGCTTTCCTCTAGGGTGCCTTGGGTTTCTTGGGTTTCGATGGTTCTGCTATGGAAAGCGCGACGCTCCCACACGAAAGTTCAATGGACGTCCTGGGGTCTCAGGGTTGGGTTTCTTGTGGAAGGTTTCTTGTGGTTGGGCCCCTGTTGCGTTTTTTCGACCCTTCAGATGTCGCGCCCCGGAGAGGGTCTCGCCTTCGGCGCGTCCTCGCCCTCGGCGGGAGGCCAGCGGAGGTGGAGCGGCGGCGGGCTTCTGCCGGCGCCGAAGGCTCGATTTGCACGCAAGAGGCCTTCGGTGCGGGCCATTGGGCGTCGCGTGCAGTCGGACCGAGGTATAGCCGGGGTCAATGCCAGGGACGGGGGTCAATGCAAACGGGGGCCAGTCAGAGCGCCGGATCTTGCAGGATCCTGAAGGATCTTGTAGGATTGCAAGGCCTGAGTGATCTGGGTCTGGATTGACCCGGGCCAGTGGATCCCCGAAGATCGAAGTGGGTTCGGGGAGGGTACCTTAGTGTTCGTCGTGCTTGTCAGATGTTGACTTGCACCCTGGGGAGGGTGCCCTTGGATGCTCTGTTTAGTTCAGCTGGTGGAGGGCTTCATGTTCTCAGGGGATGTTCTTCTGGCCTGGATCCGATTGTAATGGGGGTTGATGCGTGGAGGGGCAGCGAGGGCTGCAGATAAAAAGCGCTTCAGGGCCCTCTGAAGGGGCCCTTGCGGGGCTCCCGAAGGGGGGGGGGCCTTCAGGGTCCGATCGTTGCCCCTTTCTCCCCCCCCCGTCCCCCGTCCCCACAGTGGGCGCTCGCCCATGACGCGACGCCCGAGGCCCACTGGGGTCGTCCCTCGATCGCCCAACTCGATGCGACAGTGGCCTCTTGCGCGCTTGCGCTTGGCCTCCCCGCGGCCTCCCAGAAGCCGCACGCCCGAGGTCCCTCTATTGCCCGGGGTCGCTCTTGCGTGTAGCCGACTGGTGACGAATGCAGAGGTGAGGCGGCAACATTTTCGGGTTCAGGGTTTCTGGAGTCCTCCTCCTCCTCCTCCTCCTCCTCCTCCTCCTCCTCCTCCTCCTCCTCCTCCTCCTAGGAGCCTCCAGACACGGCGTCGCCCTCGGAGGGCCCCTCTCCTTCGGCGGGAGGCGGCATGCATCCCGCAGAAGCCAGCGACGGAAAGTCGGGGACGGCTTCGCTGGCGAAAGCCGGCAGATGTGCAAAATGCGTCCCCCAAGCAATGACAACATGTCCGGATTCAGGGTTCCTGGAGCGAGCCACAAACTGTATGCGTATCGATTCATCGTAATGGCTTTCTCTTTCTTCGCAGTCTCGCTCGCGCAGCATCGGGCGGTGGACTTCGAACACAGCCGACAGCAGAGCGTCGCGTGAGAAGAGCCGCGCTTTGTTCATGACGAAACGCCCAGTCGCTGGAGTACGTACAGCAGCGGCCACATGCGCTAGTGAAGACTCTGCAGAAGTGGCAATCCATACATGTCCAGATCTGCCAGAAGGTGATTGAGTGATAGTATGATAATCGTGTAAATGGGGATAGGCCAGCGTGCAAAGGACAATGCGCTTACGATCTCTTGTTTCAGGACATGGTGTTCAGATTGGATGGTCAATCCCGTTTGGTTTCTGCACTCGTTGTAGCACCATTCAGGGACATGCTATACCGCCTTTGCTTTCTCAGCGCCGCGATGCAGTCTGCACAGCTAATCTGGCAAGGTTTCGACCACCACTGCGGCGTGTTCGGGCGATGCATTGTGCTCCTGCACCAGGGGTAGGTGGATGTTCATCCCTTCTGACACTTCCACGATCAATGCATCTTGAGCATGTTGCCTTTGGCTAGTTGCCGCTTGTTTCCACTGCCATGTTGTCAAAGGGGCACTGCTGAGCGGGATGGTTTGCCAAGGAGTCCCTTGCGGTACGGCAGTCAGGCACACTCAAGTATTTGACAACAGGGGAGCGCGTTGTCGCCAGAGTTGTGCTGCCATGGACGCATTTGCTCTCGACTCCAAGCACTGGGCACACGTATGCCCCATCATTGCGCGTCTTCCGACGGCAACCACACATCGGGTGGCATCTATTTAGAGATGCGCGTGCATTCGTGGTAGATCAGGTTGCGTCCGACTTGTACGGCGCAGGAGGGAAGTGGGGTGGTTATGACGTCCAGATTTTCTCCAATCGGATCATGCTATCAGTATTGCCATCAGTTTGATTATTCTCAGCGCTTGTATTAGTATTGGTATTATTCGCATCCTTATCTTTATTCTGTTACTTCAGTTACGACTCGCCATTCGTATTGCCATTGGCCATAGTTGTATTGTGATCTCCGTTCCTGATGCGGCGCTGACTTGTTTAGCATTCCGCAGACAGTGTTTGCACCAAGGGGTTCTCAATTCTTGGACAATGAACTGGGCCTGTGGGCCGCTCTGGCCGCCATGCGGCCGCCGTCGCCGCCTCGTCGCCCGCCCGCCCGCCCGCCCGTCGCCTGGACTTGCGGGCCGCCCTGGCCGTCATGTGACCGCCGGCGCCGCCTCGTCGCCGGCCGTCGTCTGGGCGGCGGTGGCATTTCGTCTGGGCCTCACATAATGTGCAAAAACTAGGATCCACCAGCCTCCCGTGGCCGGACCTATCCCCCCTTTGGGGGATGTTCACTTTACATACGGTTCTGCCCCGCCGGTCATTCTAAATTTGAGCTGGTATGGTCCCAGCCACAGCGTTATCGGCCGCCCTCATCCTGTGCAGAAAACATTTTGCGCGCACGTTTTTTCTATCACGCGTAATTCGGAGTTCAAGAATCCTTTGGAAAAGTTGGGACGAAGTGCGCACGCGGCGTCGTTGCGCGCGCATGCCGAAATCCATTAACATTTTTCGGTTTCGCAGGGGGTTCAACATCGGCTGCCCCGAAAACGTGCAAACACAATGGTTGTGCAGCATGAATTTTCATTCAGAAATATGCGCGCGTTTTCGTCGAATCTGGAAGCGAACCACAAGTGTTTCTGTTCATCCAATTCGACCAAATGGGCGGGCCTTTCGCGCGCGCGTGTCGAAATCATTCGAACGCCTCTGCGCGCATGCTAGGGGGGGCACGATCCCTGTCAAATTATGTCATGCGGGCCGCTCGCGCCCGTCGGCCGCGCGCGCATGCCGAAACCGTTCCGGAACCGTCATCACCGACACGTAGACACCATCACCGTCATCGGCGTGATCAGCTTCGGCGCCGCCATTGGCCTTGCCGTCGTCATTGCCATCGTCGTCACCAGAATTGCTACTATCATCATCGTGGCCTGCCGTTGTCGACGTCGCCATGATAACCTCGCCCGCCCGAAGCACCGACTCGCAGTGAATTGTGCGCGCGTCAATGCACCGCGTAGGGCGCAGGTTGCAACGCATACGTTCTCCTTTCTAAAAAGAGAATAGACTCTACCCCCCCCGGGACTTATCGGTTCCCCCTGGGATAATATGATTTCGTATATATATATATATATATACTGCACACTCGTCCATCCTAAATATGAAATCGCACCATCCCAACTAGGCCGGTTTCCCCCCTGACGTTCCGTTATAAAAAAAACACTATGCGGTGACATTTTTTGTTCTATTATAACACTGCTTCACGAATCCCTTGCAAAAAATGAGGCGAAGTGCGCACGCTCGCGTCGTCGCGCGCGCATGCCGAAATCCTTCAAAAACTTCGGTGCGGGAAGGATTTCGCAACCGAGCTTCCCAAAAAATATTCAAAACACATGGTTTCGCAACACAGAGTTGCTAAACAAACTTCCGCGAAAGCTCTTGCGAAATCTTAAGAAAACCATTGGTTTTTCAAGATTTTCACAAAATGCTACCAAACGGGCTTCGCGCGCGCTCATGTCGAAATCTGTCGAACGCCCTTGCGCGTGTGCCGTCGCGAGAGTCCCCTGCAACAAATGGGACGAAGTGCAGACGCGCGCGTCGTCGCGCGCGTATGCCGAAAACCTTCAAAACCCATCGGTTTCGGAAGGAATTCAAAATCGCGTGTCCAAGAAACCTACAAAAACACAAGGTTTCGCAACACGGATTTTCAACAAAAGCGTGCGCGCGCGCTCTTGCGTCGTCGTCGTCGTCATCGCCGTCCTCCCTCCTCCCGCGTCGTTGTCGTCGTCGTCGTCGCCTACGTCGTCCCCTGTCTTTCCTCGTGTTCGTCGTCGTCGTCCTCTTTGGCGTCGTGGTCGTTTCCGTCGTCGTTGTCGCCGTGGTCGTCCTTCCTCCTCCTCCCTCGTCGTCGTCGTCGTCCGTCGTCGGCGTCTCGTCGTCGTCCCTCCTATTTCGTCGTCGTCGTCGTCGTTGTCGTCGTCGTCGTCGTCGTCGTCGTCTTCCCTCCTCCCTCGTCGTTGCCGTCGTCGGCGTCGCCGTCCTTCCTCCTTCTTCGTCGTTCGCGTCGTCGCCGTCTCCCTCCTCCCTCGTCGTTGTCGTCGTTGTCGCCGTCGTCGTCCTCCCTCCTTCCTCGTTGTCTTCGTTGGCGACGTCGTCGTCGTCTTCGTCGTCGTCGTCGGCGTTGGCGTCGTTGTCGTCTTCGTCGTCGTCGACGTCGGCGTCGTCGTCGTCGCCACCGTCGTCGTCGTCGTCGTTGTCGTCGTCGTCGGCGTCGTTGACGTCGTCGTCGTCGTCGTCGGTGTCGTCATTATCGTCGTCCTCGGCGTCGTCATCGTCGTCGTCGTTGTCATCGTCGTCGTCGTCGGCGTCGGTGTCGTCGTCGTCGTCGTCGGTGTCGTCGTCGTCGTCGTTGTCGGCGTCGTCGAAGTCGTTGGAGACGTCGTCGGTGTCGTCGTAGTCGTTGTCGGCGGCGTCGTCATCGTCGTTGTCGCTGTCGTCGTCGGCGTCGTTGTTGTTGCCAAGTGCCATGTGGCACCCACCGTCACGGTCTTGAGAGATTTTGCAAACCAAGTTGCGGGTGGGTGGGTGGGATGTTTGCGCGAGCAGTGGAGTGGACAACTCACTGCGAACAGAAATTAATTGCACCACATAGCTTACACCACGTAGATTGTCCTTCTTTGAGGGAGTATTCGGATGCATCTTCCCCCGAACGGATCACCTTTTCGTGTGGCAAGTTACGTGAATTAATATCATCCCAGCTAAACCAGTAGCCGTTCCCTCCTCGTCCTCTGGACAAAATATTATGTGCGCGCGTTCGTTTTTCAAAACCTGTAGGTTTTAACATCCCTTGCAAAAGCAGGACGAAGTGCACATGCGCGCGTCGTCGCGCGCGCATGCCGGAATCTTTTACGAAACCATATGTTTGGTAACAAATTCAACCGTGTGTCGCGAAAGCAAACAAAAACATCGCTCCGCAGTAAGAATTTTAAAACCAAAAAATAGATTGCGCTCGGGCTCTTGCGAATTCTTCAGACGACCGTAGGCGTCTCAACGTCTTCACTACTTGCTACCACCCGGCCCCCTTCCGCGCGCATGTCGGAATCGGTCGAACGCCCTTGCGCGCGCGTTGTCGGAAAAAACCCTGGCAAACAATTGCACGAAGTGCACTCGCGCCCGCGTCGTCGAGCGCGCACATGCCGAAGTCCTTGCAACAAACTTAAGGTTCCGGAAGGTTGTCAAAAGCCAGTGTCCTGAACACATATAGAAACACATGTTTTTGCAACGTCAGTTGTCGAACATGCCTGCGCTCGCGCTCCAATTCGTAGGACAACCATATGATTACAATGTGTAATGAAATTGGGCCAACAGGGCCCCTCGCGCCGCGCGTTGAGATCATTCCAACGCCCTCGCGCGCGTGCTGTGGGGCGCAGGCGCGGGGGGGGGGGGGCGATCAGCGTCAACGAAAGCCATGCGGTCCGCTCTCGCTCGTCGGCCGCGCGCGTCGAACTCCGTCCAAAACCTTCATCGCCGACGCGAGGGCGCCGTGATCGTCGTTGACGAGATCGTCATCGGCGCCGTCAGTGGCCTTGCCATCGTCGTTGTCATTCTCGCCACCAGCACCGCTACCCTCATCATCACGTCTACCGTCGTCGGCGTTGTCATGATACCGCGCCCGCCCAAGTCGCAGACTCGCATTGAAGTGCCCGCTGGGAAGTGCCCAGTGGTCAGCGCCACCGCGGCCGCGTCGGTCGCGCCAAACTTGCTGGCCGCTTTGCGCGCGAGCGTGCGCGCTCGCGCGACCGCAGCGATGCGCCAGCCACTGCCGAGCAGTCATCGCAATCGCCGCCGCATGGGTTTTGCAAACAGAGTTGCAGGTGGGTGGGTGGGATGATCCAACGAGTAATGGAATTGAGAAGTCCAAGTTCGGCATGGTGAGTTGCGCCACGTAGATTTCACCACGCAATTTGCTAAAACACGCCGTTTGGGGCCCACGCGGGCGAACGTTTGCTTCACTCTTTTCATGCTCAGTATCGAGGACGCCTGCGGCGAATCTCCGCCGCCGCCAGCCTTTCGGAAGCACGACCGTGCATCGAAACGTCGGGCGAGCATGCGGCCACGCTTGTGGACTGCGTGTTCCCCCAGCTGTTGGGAAAACCATTGGGGGAACACGCAGGAATGACCAAATCGGGGTTTCATGTTGGTGGTTTTCCGGCCGTTCGGGCCTCCTTGGGGGTCTTATGGGGTCCCATTGGCCAGGATTGTTCCCAGTCGCCCGGGGCCAGTAGTGGTTATGGGGATTGGATTTGCAACCAGTTCGAGCCCCCCCCGCTCCTAAAGTTGGGGGGGGCTGAACTCCACCCCCCGGCACTGCCCCGACACCCCCGTCAAACGCAGGCAAACGACGACG